AGACTTTAAAATAGGAATAATTACTCTGGGTTTCTCTGCATACAAGCACATAGAGCAAATAAATGAAAACATAAATAATATTATTTTTCTTGCCTTTCTTTCATCTTACTGTATAATTGAGATTCCAGGCCTAAGACTGTCCAGGACTTTATCTGGATATTTAATAACAATATCTGTTGTAATTACGTCAGTGTCAGAAAGAGCAAACTACATACAACACAAAGTTACACAGACACCACTATCCATTCCTTAACTTTAGCAAATATTTATGGAACACTTACTACACAGGAGACATTGTTTTTAGTATACGGTGTTGGTGTTCCAAAAAATAGCTATAATAGTAATTATAAACTTTCTTAAAGCACATGATTATGTAACACTGTATAAGTCAGATCTGGTGGGAAACTCAGAAACTATCAAAACCACCTACGGATGAGGAAATCATAAAACGAGGTAGCTTATGTGCCAGACCCTGTGCTGCTATTTTATTTCATTCATGCCAGCTCTTTAATCCTCCTAGGAACTCTATGCAGTTATCTCCGTTTTAAGACGAGGAACCGCAGGGGCGTAGCTAGTTACGTCTTCAGCCAGGCTCCCACCCTAGCAGTCGTTCCCGTTAACAAGCCTGTAACGGGTCTGTACTCGTTAGAGGTAGAGCTGAGGTCCGCAGCCGCATCGTCCAGGGCCGAGTCCAGCGCTCCGAACGGTGCTCAGCACGCTTCCCCAGCAGGTACGAGCGCTGGGAACACTCGGGAGCCACTCGTCGTGCGACCCCGGCCAACTGGAACGCGCCTGTTTTCTCCTACGTGATACTGGTAGGATGGTAGTAATAAGCCATCATCAGGACGTTAGAAGTGTAAATGGGCAACATACGTAAACCACGCAGAACAGCCCTATACAGCAACGTTCAACATATCTAGTCTTTAGGCGCGTCTAGCGACGGAAGGGTCAGGGACTGGGGATCCCGGACCCGGCCCCGTCGCCTCCGGCCCCAACACCCTGAGGCCCCCGAAGGCCTCTCCCCGCCGCCGCCTCCTCCC